CTTTTTTTTTTTTTTTTTTTTTTTTTTTTTTTTTTTTTTTGCCACATTGGCAGATATGAGACTTAAGGGTCCCACCCCATCCTGTATGTTTGAGTTCTTTCACTAGCGGTTGAGGCTGGTTGGACAGGTTTGAGTCAAATTGTACTTTGGTCCATTGTTAATTGAGAAACTGTTTCAATAAAATATTCTTTTCTACAGTTTTTGTGCTATGGTTTTTAAAATGTTTGTTCCCTGGGGCAGCGTGGTGGCTCGGTTGGTTAAGCATCCGACTCGATTTTGGCTCAAGTCATGATCCCAGGGTCAGGAGTTCGAGCCCCAGGTTGGGCTCCTTGCTGAGCATGGAGCCTGGTGCACTTGCTTGCTCTCTCTAAAAAAAAAAAGTCTCCTGTGTATGAACAATACATGTTTATTATAGAAAATTTGGACGCTAGAAGTTTGAATCTTAAAATTACGTATCCTACTACCGCCAAAATACATTTTGGACTTAGTTAAGATTCGTATATGTAAGTTGTTTTTTCATGAGAACACAATTGTGGTTTTATTTTTCCCTTGACATTTGGACCCCTATGTCCCAGGCATTTTTAGGTGACTACCATTTTTTAAGATAACAACCCCATTTTGCAAGTAAGAAATTGACAGTTCACGGGAGACGGCCCAGCTGGCTCAGTCAGTGGAGCATGCGACTTAATCTCAGGGTTGTGAGTTCAAGCCCCACATTGGGTGTGGAGTCTACTTAAAAAAGAAAATGAAATTGACAGTTCAGAGGTCTCAGTAATGGATCCAGGGAATCAGAGGTGTTAAGTGCCTCGGCTAGGTTTGAATTTAAGGCTGACCCATTAGCACTCGCTGTTAACTGCTCTGATACAAGAATGTGTTACTAAAGTCACCACTCAGCACCGTTAATTTGGGTTATCAGTGGTGATGGAACCATATTTTGCCAAAGGAAGATCATTCTAGTCCTTAATCGCATGTCTAAGAAGCTGAATAAATAAGGGGAAGATTCTGTTTTTCTCTAAAGTTTGAACAGGTCAGACATGTTTTAAAGCCTGAAGATTTTTTTTTTTTTTTAAATAGACTTTCTTAGAGCAGTTGTGGGTTCACAGCAAAATTGAGCAAGAGGTACAGAGACTTCCCATATACTCTGGCTCCACGCATGCACAGCCTCCCCCACTATCAACAACCCCCCGCCAAAGTAATATAGTCATACTAACGTATGACCCGATGTTGATTATTGTCATCACTGGAAGTATAGTTTACATTAGGGTTCACTAATGTACTAATGTTGACATTGTACATTCTTTGTAATTTGGACAAATCTATAATGACATGTGCCCACCATTACATGTCATACAGAGTAGATTCACTGTCCAAAAAATCTATGCTCTATTGGTCCATCCCTCCTGCCACTTGTAACTCCTGGCAACCACAGATCTTTTTGCTGTCTCCCTAGTTTTGCCTTTCCCAGAATGTCGTGTAGTTGGAGTCCTACAGTATGTAGCCTTTCAGCCTGGCCACTTTTGCTTAGCAACATGCGTTAACATTTCCTCCATGTCTAAGTTTATTTATTTATTTAGAGAGAGAGAGAGAGCAAGAGTGTGCAGGAGGGTCACAGAGAGAGAGGGAGAGAGAGAACCCCAAGCAGGTTCCACACTGTCAGTGCGTGGAGCCTGATGTGGGGCTCAAACTCACAAACCCCTGAGATCACGACCTGAGCTGAAATCAAGAGTCGGACGCTTAACAGACGGAGCCACCCAGGCGCCCCTGTAGCCATTATTTTTAAAGGATCAATTTTTGATTCTCTAGTTTCCATCATCATACGGGCATTGTGAACAACTCTGTAATACACTGGCTAGATATGCCATAGTTTTTTTAAATCTTTCATCCATATTGCACCCCTGGATGTGTCTGCTTCTCAGTATTACAACAGTGACTGCCTTTGGGCATAATATTGTTTTCTTGATCTCTTAGGTTACATTAGAAGGTAGGAATATTTAAGGCAGCGGTTCTCAACCGGGGAAATTTTACCAGGGGTCATTTGGCAATGTGTGGAGTCATTTGGGGCTGTCAAAATTGGCAGGTAAGGGGCTGTGGAGGATAGGTGTTATTGGTATTTAGTGGATAGATGTCAAGGATGCCACTAAACATTCTCCCATGCACAGGACAGCCCTCCCCACTGCAACAAATTACCTTGCCCAAAACGTCCATGGCAGTGATACTGAGAAACCCTAATCTCAATTCTCAAGTGTTACCTTCTTTTAATTCTGTTTAATTCTTAATGTGTATGGGAAGCAGCGCTGTTCATTGATTAAGGACATGAGTTTCGGAGTCCAACAAATTAGGAACTAGTCAGTAACCTACACCTGAGACAAATCATTTGGCTTTGATTTTTCTTATCTTTTTAAAGCAAGACGAGACCCAACCCTACATAGTTGCTGAAGCCAACACAGTATTTTTTTAACCAATACAGTATTAATACTGTAATTTTGCCAGACTGATAAATTAAAAAGTGGCTTCGATTTTATTTTATGATTGAGGTTGAACATCTTATTTAAGAGCCGCTTGTATTTTCTTTTGCCGTAAGCTATTGTTCCCTATCCGTTGCCCCTTTTCCTTATTAGGTGGTTGGTCTTAATGATCTTTAAGAATTCTCTCTGCATTGGGGCGCCTGGGTGGTGCAGTCGGTTAAGCGTCCGACTTCAGCCAGGTCACGATCTCGCGGTCCGTGAGTTCGAGCCCCACGTCAGGCTCTGGACTGATGGCTTGGAGCCTGGAACCTGTTTCTGATTCTGTGTCTCCCTCTCTCTGCCCCTCCCCCGTTCATGCTCTGTCTCTCTCTGTCCCAAAAAAAAAAAAAAAAAAAAAAAAAAAAAAAAAACGTTGAAGAATTCTCTCTGCATTAAGGAAATCAGTCCTTAGTCCGTGACTTAAATCTGTCTTATCCAGTTTAGGCTTTGACTGAGTATGTGGCCTTCAGCATGAATTTATTTTAGGTAGAATTTATTATTTTGTATTATTTTGTATGGCATAAGTTTATTTTAGGTAGAACTCACTATTTTTGTATGGCTTTTAGGGATTTGTTGTACTGAGGCCTTCCCCAATCCAAGATTACGTTGCCATGCTTTTGTCTGGTATTTTTGGTTCTACTTTTTTGTGTTTAGATCTTTTGATCCACCTACAGTTTATTTTATGGTAAGGTATGAAGCAGGATCCAATTAGCCAGTATTCCAATACCATTTATTGAAATCTGCTTTTTCTAGGCTGTTACAGAAAGCCACCTTTATTATATAACAAGTTTTCAGGTGGGTTTGAGCTTCTACTGGGATTTTTAATCCTGTCTCAATGATAGTTTATTTTATTTTAATTTTTTAAAGCTTTTCCCTTCTTGTTTACACGTTTTTTAATGTTTATGTTTGAGAGAGAGACCGACAGAGCGTGAGTGGGGGAGGGGCAGAGAGACAGGAAGACACAGAATCTGAAACAGGCTGTCAGCACAGAGCCCTATGCGGGGCTCAAACTCAGGAACGGCAAGACCACAATCTAGGCTGAAGTTGGACTAAGCGCTTAATCAACTGAGCCACTCAGGAACCCCTCAATGATATATATATATATATATATATTTTTTTTTTTCAACGTTTATTTATTTTTGGGATAGAGAGAGACAGAGCATGAACGGGGGAGGGGCAGAGAGAGAGGGAGACACAGAATCGGAAACAGGCTCCAGGCTCTGAGCCATCAGCCCAGAGCCCGACGCGGGGCTCGAACTCACGGACCACGAGATCGTGACCTGGCTGAAGTTGGACGCTTAACCGACTGCGCCACCCAGGCGCCCCTATATATATTTTTTAATAAGGCAGAGGTTTGGGGCACCTGGCTGGCTCAGTCAATAGAGCATG